CTTGGTCAGAGGAATCGGAGATCTGTGCGTGCACTCTCACAGAGTGGAAAAGGGTAAATAAATGCATTTTTATTCATTATTTTATATAGTGGTTTGTCCGTCTGTTAGCTACTTAAACTCTGAAGTGGAAGATGAACATTTTAAAAACAATGACTGACAAAACATTTTAACTTGAGCTTTGTCGAATGTTTAATGTATATGTTTTATTCATTTTGTTCTGCAGACATTTGTTACACCACTGGCAAGCCGATAGTCAGTCCAGTGTTTACACACACACATATACATACATACATATAGTCATTAGCAGACGCTTTTTTCCAAAGCGACTTACAAATGATGTCAATATAAGCAAACAACAAAAGAGCAATATGTATACGTGCTATGAAAAGTCTCAGTTAGCCCAACGCAGTAGGCTACACGTAGCAAGTTTTATATATATATATATATATACTTTGCAACTTTACAGATCTTCTTTATGCACCAAGAGCTTGTAACACTCCAAAGAGAAAGGAAAAATTTAAATCGCATCATATGACCCCTTTAAAAGAAATGTTCCTGTGGCTCAGTGGTAGAGCATTGCGTTAGCAGCGCAAAGGTCGTGGGTTCGATTCCCAGGGAACACGCATACTAAAAAATATAAAAATAAAATAAAAACAGTGCATTCAGGCTATACATTTTTTATACGCAAGTCGCTTTGGATAAAAGCGTCTGCTAAATGCATAAATTTAATTAAATTTTTTTATTTAAAAGCAAGCATGGGCTGCTGCGTGCATGGCATGGCAGAATGCGAGCAGCGCGCTTCCTTTATTATCACTAAAAGCTGACATCTCAGTTAATCGCGAACGAACACTTAACAGAAGGCTGAAGGAGCACTCCCTCTCTGTCAGAGGCTGCTGTTCCAATATATCTGATAATGAACTTGATCGTCTCGTGAGGGCAATAAAATTAAGAATGCCCCATGCTGGATACAGACTTGTAAAAGGTGAACTTCTGGCAAGAGGGCACCGCATACAATGGCGCAGATTGAAGGCCAGTACGCAGCGGGTGGATGGAGCTGGAATTTTGGCCAGAATGGTCCAGCTTGGTTTTATAGTCCGTAGAACTTACTCCGTTCCTGCACCATTGTCGCTTGTTCATGTGGATAACAACTATAACTTAATCACGTATTTGCTTTCTTAATCTCATTTGCATGCACACACACAAAGAAAATCTTACTTTATTCACACACTAATACATCCAGATGTATTAGTACATCCAGATGTATTAGTACACTAAACATATCAATTACTAACAGTAGACAGAATGGTTTTATATCTGAATTTTTCCTTAGATTCAACATTGGGATATTTGGTGGGATTGATGGTTTCTTTAGGAAGGTACTGTCAAAGTCTAAATATGGTTTGTTTTTAAACTTGAAAGGTTATAGCAATGTTCAAAAATCGAAGCGTTTCAGAAAGGCGGGGCATAGAGGAGAAACAATAATGTACAGTATGTGGAAAATAATGTTTTTTGAACTTTAAACCGCATAAACACATTTCATTACACCAAATACACAAAATAATGTTCTTTTTAGCAGCATCATATGACCCCTTTAACTAATGCATTATTCTGGACCCTTAAAATAAAGTGTTACCTTTTTATTTGGTCCCTGTTGCGTTGGGTCCCGCGGTACTCCCGCGGGAGTTCAGGTCTCTAGTGGGAACAACAGCCCGTTTTTAAAGAGATTCTCTGTTTCTGACGTAAGCGAATAAAATAATCTTTTTCAAAGACAAGATCATCGTGATCGGTTAGCTGTTCTGTCATAAGCGACAAGAGCGAATCAAATAATAGAAATAATGTTCTTTTTAGCAGCATCATATGACCCCTTTAACTAATGCATTATTCTGGACCCTTAAAATAAAGTGTTACCTTTTTATTTGGTAGAAGTTCATTACACAACTTTTGTTAAATTTAATTCAACCTGCTTAAGTAAAATTGTGGTTACTACAGTCATGGTTATTACAGTTTTACTATAGTAAAAGCATGGTTAATTTTCATAAGGGATATGACAAGCACTGAGCACATCCATCTCTGGCTCAAAACCAGCCAAACACGAAAGCATATCTGAATTTAGCAGTTAATCACATGACAAACTGAACAATAATCACTCCGGTGTGATTGTACACGTTAAAGAGCTACTTTACTTTCGAAACTTATGGCTTCTCTCCATTGTGAATCTTCATGTGTTTGTTAAGGTTTCCATTTTGAATGAAACTCTTTCCACATTGTTGGCAGGTGAAAGGTTTCTCTCCAGTATGAATTCTCATCGGCTGTTACACAGACGCTGAGCCGCTTAGACAGCGCACCAGTAGCGCTTCAACGGACGAAAACACACACAATTATGTCAAAATACGCGGTTTTGGCGAGTAACCTCGTAAACTATGGAATCAGATTTGTGCCAAATAAAACGAACGAAACTTTTGCGAAAACTAACAAAAATATACATTGATAAATGAGAAAAACACTGAAAATAAAAACAATCAACCAAATAGCAAAAAAAGTAACATCGTCTTCAAATAAACTGCATTCTTTGTTGACTTCACTTTCAGCTTCACTTTCGCTAAACGCAGTTTTGAATGCGCTGCCAGCGTTTTCGTTTTCCAAGTTTTTGTTTGCACTTCGCAAATTTACGTTCGCCATTCTGGCACAAACCTCTCGTGAGGGCGGGCTTAACAGCGGTTCGCTCTTATTGGCTCGTGAGATTTTGATCGGTGGCTCATTGAACCGGAAGTAGTGTTTCAGTGGCGCAGGTGCATGTCTGGACTGTGGAGCTGTAAGTAAATGGTAATAAGAGTATATTAAAGAACATTAATGATAAAACACGGATATTTTTCACATCAGAAGAAGAAGAATAGGGTTATTCGAGATGAGTAATCGGGAGGCTCACGGAGCGTCGTCAACATCCTCCTCGGCAGGACATTCGAGGCAGCCTGAGGTAAGTTTGTTATAACTAAGATAATAAATAGAAAAATCGAGATATAAGTTTTATTCCTGTGCAGAATGCAACAGTTGTGTCTTTATTTAGATCGTTCTTTACTTATATGAACTGGACTGCGTTTCTTAAAAGCATCGCGAGCTAAGATCGTTACGTTAGAGACCATTGGTGCCAAAGTATACTTCGGCATATATTTTAGGCTGGTGAATGTGAAACACAACGCTTCGTAATGATCTTTCTTTAATTGTAAATCGTCTTCTTTTGTATTTACGTTAATGATAACACAGTGTCGTTATTCTGGTTAAGAAAACAATTCTATCTTTATGATTGTCCATACAAAAACAAATGTAAGATTTTCGCCTAATTCTCTTTTCTTTTGATATTACTTATCAGGACCAAAGAGACATGTCACTTCTCCAATTCATGTTGTTCTGTGTATATAAAATACAAATTTAAAGGGGCTTTGCTCACTTTTTAGGTGTTTTTAACAGGTGATTTTATTAGATTTAAAATCTAATAAGTTCAGCATGGAATTATGTACTCAGCCTGAGATGTAGGCTAACTATGCATTGTTTATACCTGCAGGAACAAGTGCGAGAACATATCTTGCAGCGTATGCTAACTAAGTTTTACTCAATTTGTCGGAATGAAACTATAGACATGGATTACCTCCTGGATGTTGCTCAGCAAGAACTAACATTGGCAATTGCTGCATCAAATCATGTTGACATCCCAGGGGAATTAATTAGGGGTCTACAGGAGTTAATAAACCTAACTAATATCTCTCAGAGTTCAGAAGAATCTTCAGTGAATTTATCTGAAATTGTAACTATCAATCACCTGCGGTAACTTTGGACGCCCACGTTTGGATATCCACAGGGATGACCTTAAAGAACTTCTCTCTACTGCTCTTCCTGTAGAAACTCTTGAAGAGCTCTGTGGTGTTTCTAGACGAACACTTAACAGAAGGCTGAAGGAGCACTCCCTCTCTGTCAGAGGCTGCTGTTCCAATATATCTGATAATGAACTTGATCGTCTCGTGAGGGCAATAAAATTAAGAATGCCCCATGCTGGATACAGACTTGTAAAAGGTGAACTTCTGGCAAGAGGGCACCGCATACAATGGCGCAGATTGAAGGCCAGTACGCAGCGGGTGGATGGAGCTGGAATTTTGGCCAGAATGGTCCAGCTTGGTTTTATAGTCCGTAGAACTTACTCCGTTCCTGCACCATTGTCGCTTGTTCATGTGGATAACAACTATAACTTAATCACGTATTTGCTTTCTTAATCTCATTTGCATGCACACACACAAAGAAAATCTTACTTTATTCACACACTAATACATCCAGATGTATTAGTACATCCAGATGTATTAGTACACTAAACATATCAATTACTAACAGTAGACAGAATGGTTTTATATCTGAATTTTTCCTTAGATTCAACATTGGGATATTTGGTGGGATTGATGGTTTCTTTAGGAAGGTACTGTCAAAGTCTAAATATGGTTTGTTTTTAAACTTGAAAGGTTATAGCAATGTTCAAAAATCGAAGCGTTTCAGAAAGGCGGGGCATAGAGGAGAAACAATAATGTACAGTATGTGGAAAATAATGTTTTTTGAACTTTAAACCGCATAAACACATTTCATTACACCAAATACACAAAATAATGTTCTTTTTAGCAGCATCATATGACCCCTTTAACTAATGCATTATTCTGGACCCTTAAAATAAAGTGTTACCTTTTTATTTGGTAGAAGTTCATTACACAACTTTTGTTAAATTTAATTCAACCTGCTTAAGTAAAATTGTGGTTACTACAGTCATGGTTATTACAGTTTTACTATAGTAAAAGCATGGTTAATTTTCATAAGGGATATGACAAGCACTGAGCACATCCATCTCTGGCTCAAAACCAGCCAAACACGAAAGCATATCTGAATTTAGCAGTTAATCACATGACAAACTGAACAATAATCACTCCGGTGTGATTGTACACGTTAAAGAGCTACTTTACTTTCGAAACTTATGGCTTCTCTCCATTGTGAATCTTCATGTGTTTGTTAAGGTTTCCATTTTGAATGAAACTCTTTCCACATTGTTGGCAGGTGAAAGGTTTCTCTCCAGTATGAATTCTCACGTGGTCAACGAGGTGTTGTTTTTGTTTAAAACTCTTTCCACATTGCGAACATGTGTAAGGTTTCTCTCCAGTGTGAATTCTCATGTGATTTTTAAGGTTTGGTTTATGAATGAAGTTCTTTCCACACAGTTTGCAGGTGAAAGGCTTCACTCCAGTATGAGTTCTCATGTGGTCTCTAAGGTTTCCTTTGTGAGTGAAACTCTTTCCACATTGAAGGCAGGTGAAAGGTTTCTCTCCAGTATGAATTCTCAAGTGGTCATCGAGGTGTTGTTTATGATTAAAACTTTTTCCACACTGAGAGCATGTGTAAGGCTTCTCTCCAGTATGAGTTCTTATGTGGTCTCTAAGGTTTCTTTTGTGAGTGTAACTCTTTCCACATTGTTGGCAGGTGAAAGGTTTCTCTCCAGTATGAATTATCTTGTGGTCATGGAGGTGTTGTTTATGTTTAAAACTTTTTCCACATTGAGAGCATGTGTAAGGTTTCTCTCCAGTATGAATTCTTGTGTGGCTTTTAAGGTTTGTTTTATTAATGAAACTCTTTCCACACTGTTGGCAGGTGAAAGGCTTCTCTCCAGTGTGAACTCTCATGTGGACTTCAAGATTTTCTTTTCTGGTGAAACTTTTCCCACACTGTTGGCAGGTGAAATAACTTCTATTTGCTGTCTTTTGAGCTCTTTTTTGTGAAGTCTTTTCAGTATGTGAGCAACTAAATGATTTTTCTTCAGTCATGAAATTATATTTCTCATGCTGAACATTATCTTCCTTTTCATTGAGTTCTTGACTCTCCTCTTTCAGTGTCATCAGGTCTAATGCAAAAAAGACAAATCCAGATTAACACTATTTTTAATGGCACAAAGAACAAACATTAAAATCAACAACATGTAGATCTTATACACATGTAGAGCTACAAAAGGAGGTGTTAAATGAGATCTTAAAATGTCTTCCCATTATTCGAAGTGATGATAAAAAAGAGCCAAGATTGTGTAATCTTAGTTGCGCATGTTTAATGGTAATGGGTCATGTGATCTCAACATGTCTGTCCACACAATGTAGGGTTGCCACCTGTGCCTTAAAGGGGTCCTATTATGCTTTTTCACTTTTTGAATTTTAGTCAGTGTGTAGTGTGAATGTTTGGGCATAAAAAAGATCTAGAAAGTTACAAATCTCAAAGTCCACT